AAGAGTCAACCACAAAACCTTAGGGAATGAAAAAACAATACCAACTATGTCTAATTTATGATCATGTTGTACTGTTCATGTATACATAAATTGTCAGAGTTTTCATAATAATACCAGGCTTTAATTATTTAATCACTAATATCAATTTGTTTAAAAAAAATAAGTCACCGTAGAGAATTAAGGGGAATGGTATCATGTGTGTGTGTGGTGGTGGTGTGTGTGTGTGTGTGTGTTTGTGTGTATTGGATTTTTGCAGACGTGTATCAATCAGATATGATTATTTACGTCTGGGGACCAACCTTTAAACGTCACTATCCGAAAGACGTGACTCATTTTCGAACCTGCGTCCTCGGCTGATTCAGTTTGTAACTTCCACTTTTAGCTGGATTACAGGCGCACGCCACAACACCTAGTTAAGATATTTTGAGATGAAAACTCTCTGTGTTTGCACATGTATAACATTGGCACCGCTCCTAAAAGAAAGAAAAAAAAGGAGATGAAAAAAATATGAAAAGGTGTAAATGTGATAATAGCGCTAGGTATATCAATGTTTTTATTGTAGAGTTAAATGTATTTCTACTTGAAAAGCCTATTGATTAAAGACGAACTAATCATTTAAAAATGAGTTTCCGACTTTTACTTTTTGTATTTCCCCCTCGATTATTTCCCTAACTCGTATTTTGAAAGTAGGCCCGAATTATTGACTTACATAGCACACATAAACTTAAAGTAGGCAGAGTATACGTCTTGGTATTAATAGCGAAGGAGTAGGCTTATCACATCACAGGCAGTATCTTTTAAGAAGAAAAAAAGGAACTTGGTCTGAACCGTATGGCACAACGTTCCTAGTTTTTTTTTAAAGCAATGAGAACGTAATTATATTTGTCTAATAGCGCCCTCTTCCCCCTCTCTCTCTCTCTCTCTTTCTCATTCCCTCAATTTCTGTCTTTTGTATCTAATCCGCTCCACCTCTTCCTCTTCCTCTCCCCTCCCTCTCTCTCTCTCTCTCTCTCTTCCCATCTCCTCCCGTCTGTTTCTCCTTTATCTCCTTAATCTCCGTCTATTCCTTTCTGTTACTATCCCTATATCGCTCTCTCTCGCTCTCTCTCTCTCTCTCTCTCTCTCTCCATCCTCTCTCTCTCTCCCTATCTCTTCCCACCTCCACCCGTCTGTTTCTCCTTTATCTCCTTCATCTCCGTCTATTCCTTTCTGTTACTATCCCTATATCGCTCTCTCTCGCTCTCTCTCTCTCTCTCTCTCTCTCCATCCTCTCTCTCTCTCCCTATCTCTTCCCACCTCCACCCGTCTGTTTCTCCTTATCTCCTTAATCTCCGTCTATTCCTTTCTGTTATTATCCCTATATCGCTCTCTCTCGCTCTCTCTCTCTCTCTCTCTCTCTCCATCCTCTCTCTCTCTCCCTATCTCTTCCCACCTCCACCCGTCTGTTTCTCCTTATCTCCTTAATATCCGTCTATTCCTTTCTATTACTATCCCTATATCGCTCTCTCTCTTTCTCTCTCTTCCCCCTCTCTCTTTTAGTTTCTCTCTTTATATCTCAGTTCACTTTCTTCCACTCTCACTCATCAAATGCAATCTATATTTCGACTGAGAATAACTTATCAGAAGAAATCTATATTTGCACCCATCGGTCCTCTAGTTATTTCCGTACTACGTACCATTATGGGCAGAGGGATTAAACAATGGATAATTCCAGGGATAACCCTAAACCCAAGCATAGTTCGAACTATAACCATGACACTATCACTTCTGGTAGTCAGCGGATGAACAATGGTGCTAAATACCAATAAGGTGTTGCAATACACGTTTGAGTCACGAGAGGGCGCACCATTCATATTTAGTATACTAATAGTTTAGTACATGTTCTACCAACATCTTACAGTTCCATTACAGAAAATTCATCACAAGAACATTTCCATTGTTAAAGCTTAATATTTATGTTTATTCTTTGAAACAACACAGCTGCCATTCGAATTGAATACGTTAAAAACAAATTGAAAATTTCAGTCGTGATCGTGATCAAAATAAAAAATGCATATTTAAATCTTTTGAAGATATTTCCAACATAATTCATTTCAACAAATTAAACTGGAATTCAATAGATGGTACAAAATATGGTAGTAAGGATAAGCATGATAAGGCTTTGCGCAGAAATAAAAAGACTTACTGTTAGCTTGGCTAAGCTCGGCGCACACTACACCATTTTCCTGCGATCTGATGTTCATAGGAAAAGCATTATCAGATATGTAAATCTAAACAATCGCTATCTTCCTGATGTAGGCTATAATAATTATAAGAATATTAACAACAAACATTTAAGTGCATTTAACTCTCCCGCCCCCCCCCCCCCAAAAAAAAAAAAAAAAAAAAAAAATCGTAGACAATCTCACTACTGGTCTGACGTCATGACGTTTCTGAGCCGATTTATTTTTCCCCTCGAAGGAAGCATGAAAGTCCTTGAGTTTTTTATTGTATTAATCATGAAACTATTCAAATCCTCGGTACTTAAGATTTCTCATGTTTGAATGTTCATATAAAATGCTAACACAGATTCTTCCGAAATCGGATTGTAGTCGTAGTCAGATCGTGTAGTGCGCGTCGGGCTTTCGAGACTACATTCTTTAAAATTGACATGGTAAAATAAAGTAGAGGTGGTGGTGGCTCAATATACTCTAATTTTACTAAACACTATTTCAGTGATATGCAACAAAAACCGTTTACTAAAGAGTAAATGGCGAGAATATCAGCACACATAGTCATTTAGATCGATCCTAAGTTTTTGATATATTTTAATGAATTGATTAATCATTTAAATACTACTACTTCTACTATTACTTTTACTACTACTAATGTCCTTAATATTTTTATCCTAATCATTATCACCCTTATTAATATTATTGTTATTCTCATTATCCTTATTTTTCTTCTACTTCTTCTTCTTCTTCTTCTTCTTCTTCTTCTTCTTCTTCTTCTCATTTTATCGTCATCACTATTATTATTACTTAACATATATCAGTTTAATTCTGTTTGACAGTATAACCGTTATTGTCATTATTTCTATTTTTTATTATTTCAGCTTCTATTACTATTACCTACACCACTAGCATAAATACTATCAAATATCCGTCCACTTTTACCACAACTGTTCCAACTACGATCATGACGACAACTTATTGTTCTACGCCTGCTGCTAGTAGTAGCAGTACTATACTACTACTACAACTACCCCTACTACTGCTACTACTACTACTACTACTACTACTACTACTGCTACTACTACTACTACTACTACTACTACTACTACTACTACTACCATTACTTCTTCTATTACTATAACTATTACTACTACTACTACTACTGCTACTACTGCTACTACTGCTACTGCTACTACTACTCTTACTACTACTGCTACTACTACTCTTACTACTATACTACTACTATTATTATTATTATTACTTCTTTTACTGCTACTATTAATGCTTATAATACTACAACGTACTGCTACTACGTCTACTAGCATTATTTCTAGGTATATAATTATATTTTCTATGTATTGTCAATAGCAGTAACGGTTTTCTTGTGGACTGCCAACGTTACTTATTATACAATTGCACTCTTACTTCATAATTATGTGGGCCTTTACTGTAGAATATTATGACTGTTGATTTAACTTGGACTATAATTATGGTCTCTTTATGTTGCCCCGGACGGCATGTAAGCTTCAGTTTGGATCTACTTACAATACTAATTCTACCAAAACTCTTTTAGAACAAGTAATGATCTGCTGCAGACTGTAGTTTCTCGGGCCCATTTTAAGGCCAGGCCTACTACTAGTACACTATGACTATTACCACCACTACTGTACTACAACTAATATACTACTACTACTACTACTACTACTACTACTACTACTACTACTACTACTACTCCTTCTCCTTCTCCTACTACTACTACCTCTACCACTATACTTTGCTGTTACTCATAATGCTACTACTACTATTCCCAATACTTTAACTAATTTGAACACAGTCTCCATTATTTTCAATACTTCTAGGCATACAACCGCCTTTATTTATTGCCACCACCACCACCTCTCTATATATGCGTTACCACTTCTACACTTACTATTGCTTCTGCTAGTAGTAGTGCTACTTCTAATACTACTACTACTGCTTCTAATACTACTACTACTAATACTAATACTACTACTGCTACCACTTCTACTGCTACAATCATGACGATGCTACCACTCCATGCGCTGCTACTTCTCCTAGTATATCAGTAGCTAATGCCTTCAATCATATTAATGCATCTCTAATATAACTACTTTAACTATACCATCACCACCACAACCGCAATTTCCTTATCAGTTATTACTAGTATTACGTATTTTACCGGAGATTTGTTTCTATTGAACTATTTTGTCTACCGGTCTAAATAAGGGTTTTGATAATACTGCGACTACTGCTTCTGCTCTCCATACTTATATCGGAATTACAATTTGTTTAGACTATTAGATAAAATATATTTCATAAGATTGGATGAATATTACATTTACTTACATCCTATTTTGTAGATAGAACATTGATATAAATGTATGCTTTGACTACTAGGTGCTAACTTATGCAGGAATGGAAATATCATAGTTATCCAAACTTCTGTATTTACATTGGACAGGAAAACAACATACATTATTTTTTTTAATTTTCAAGTTTGAATAAATATCTTTTGTTCGTCTTCAAGCTCTGATTGGTAGCTATATATACTTATATGGATATCTATCGACTCTATTCTTTGTTCTCTTGCAAATCATTATAACGATGATTATCAAAACAATTGTTCTAAATTGGCCATTCTAAGTAATACTGTTATTTTGATAAAATAAGCCTGAATAACATTCAGAAAGTAAGCACATTGAAATACGGAATACTTAAACTGGAAGCAAGCAAATCTTCTTTTTGAAAGAACATATCAAGAAATAATGGAAGACATAATACAATACCTTTATTGATTTTGGTGAATTAAGATCGCAGGAATAATCGCCATATTTAAAGGCAAATATATCAAGAACACAGAAACAATTCAAATGTACCAGTCGAACTTTGTGGTACCCTCTTAGACTGCATCGTACTATGGTAATGTGTGATAACAGATAAAATGGCATCTCTGATATTGGCAAATTGAGAGGGAATTCAAATAATATACACACATGTAGATATACAGTACTCGTAAAGCAGCAAAAACAAACATGGAATAGAAGTCCGTACAAAGAGATCACTTCACTTTTTCATACTGATCCAACAATATGTAGATCATACACTGAATGACAATCACACTGCAAAGTAACATGCATCAAGTTATAGTTTCATTTACAACATCATCATACTTACCGTAAGTCACTCCTGATTAATTAATGTGTCAGAAATTCCAAATTTAAAATGGAAAATTAGAATGTGGATTGATTTATTGGTGACTCCAATACCCTAAATACAATTCACGATTAATATCATCATATTTACTACGAGTTAACAAAATAAAAAACGTTGTTTGGGTTTTAATGACAAATAAATTTATTTTGCCATTAACTGTTTCAATTTTCATTAATCAGCCTAATCATGTTGTTAAGCGAGCTCATGCATGTATTCTTTGGGGAGTGATATGATCATTCTAAAGCTCATCGTCTTCCTCTCCATCCTCTCCTGTACCAGAGTCTACGCCAACTTCTTCATAATCCTTCTCCAGAGCTGCTAGATCCTCCCTAGCTTCAGCAAACTCTCCTTCCTCCATCCCCTCGCTCACGTACCAGTGAACAAAGGCACGCTTGGCGTACATCAGATCGAACTTGTGGTCGAGACGAGCCCAGGCCTCGGCGATGGCAGTGGTGTTGCTCAACATGCAAACCGCACGCTGAACCTTGGCAAGATCACCACCAGGGACGACGGTGGGTGGCTGGTAGTTGATACCAACCTTGAAGCCAGTTGGACACCAGTCGACGAACTGGATGTTGCTCTTTGTCTTGATGATTGCTATGGCGGAATTGACATCCTTAGGGACCACATCCCCACGGTAGAGAAGGCAACAGGCCATGTACTTGCCACGACGAGGATCACACTTCACCATCTGTTGGTTAGGCTGAAAGCAAGCATTGGTGATCTCTGCCACTGTGAGCTGCTCGTGGACAGCTTTCGTTGTTGAGATCACAGGAGCATACGTGGCCAGCGGGAAGTGGATCCGAGGATATGGCACCAGATTGGTCTGGAACTCCGTCAGGTCAACATTGAGGGCGCCATCGAACCGCAGAGACGCCGTAATGGAAGAAACGATTTGTCCAATGAGACGGTTGAGGTTGGTGTAGGAGGGGCGCTCGATGTCGAGATTAGTACGACATATATCGTAAATAGCTTCGTTGTCAACCATGAAGGCGCAGTCGGAGTGCTCGAGGGTGTTATGCGTGGTCAAGACAGCGTTGTACGGCTCGACAACTGCGGTTGAGACCTGAGGGGCTGGGTAGATAGCGAATTGTAGCTTAGACTTCTTACCATAGTCGACCGAGAGACGTTCCATCAAGAGAGAGGCGAAACCTGACCCGGTGCCGCCTCCGAAACTATGAAAGATGAGGAATCCTTGTAGGCCTGTGCACATATCAGCCTACAATGAAAAATAAAAGTTTGAAAGAACATGATGTCATTGTCAGAACTATCTTTGAGGGTGTTTGGGTTATCGTGGTTTGCCTTAAATCATTTCACAAAGGAGTGTGAACATAACATTCTTGGTAATGCAAGGTATGGCAAAGTGCATTCATGATCTGTTGTCTGAATTCAAAGTTATGAAATCACGCTGTTCCGTCAAAAAAGATAATACAACATAATTTCATTTGACATAAGCATTGTGGGAAAATAATATCATACCTCAGGCAAAAGAGAGGAATAGATAATGGTATTTGCATTATGAATAATACAAACAAGTAGACACGAAGTGTTACTGAAAACGCTTTAAGCAAGGATTGCTTACCAGTTTTCTGATCCTGTCGAGGACGATGTCAATGATCTCCTTACCAACCGTGTAGTGACCACGGGCATAGTTGTTGGCAGCATCCTCCTTGCCGGTGATCATCTGCTCGGGATGAAACAGTTTCTTGTACGATCCATGGCGAATCTCATCTGTGTCATGGGAAAGAATGAACATCACAGATGTATAGGTGGTGGAAATATTGCAATCGCCAAGACACTATATGTGATGGGTTTTTTTTAAAAGGCAAATACATGTCACTTCGACCTTTTATGTCAAATTTAGATCTATCCTTGTCTGGCAGGGAAACATAATCTTCGAGGTATGCCTTTTTATTTTGTTTTGTGTAATTTTGTTTGTTTGATTTGTTTTGTTTTGTTCGTGCTTTTTTGTTTTTTCTTCTTCTAAATATTAAACAGAAAGCTCCTGATACAGCCTTATTGACTCAGGACAGTTTATGAATTAAATTTGCCATAAAATTGTTATGCCATTTCCCGGTATTACGGGGTATGATATAACTTTTTTTTTGAAGAAAAAAAAATGTGGTGGAAAGGTCGTTTAGAAGCCTTGTTAAGCAATAAGTATTGGCTTCAAACTAAACGACCTTTCCACCACATTTTTAAGCAATAAGTATTGGCTTCAAACTAAACGACCTTTCCACCACATTTTTTTAAGAGCTATTGTATGAACTTCAGAGTTCAATGCTCTGAATGACGTTCCTGAGAAAAAAATTCTGAAAACAAATTTAAATTAAATTTTCCGACTGTGACTCCCGACCCTGAAAATTTTATTCTAAAACTTCATTTTCTCCCTTCTCATTCTTCTTCTGACTCCCATTCTTTACTTTCTCTTCACATTTCTTTTTTTTTCTTTCATCCATCATCCATATAATTTCATTTTTTTTATCTGTAAACTTTGCATTTTAATTATTATACTTCTACCTTATTATAAATGACACTGTATCAACGCTATTTCGAGGAACTTGAATTCTACAAGCTATATACTTTTTATTTAGTTCCTTTTTTCACATGTAATTATGAAATTATTTAGGGCAAATACAATACAAACATATGCTATGTAGATGTCTTTATTTTCACGAATATCAATTTTGCAAATATACTATGTTTTGTTAATGTATTGTTTTTTTCATGTGAAATAAAAAAACAACTAAAACTCAAACTGAAACTCACCGACCACAGTGGGTTCGAGGTCGACGAACACGGCTCGAGGAACATGCTTGCCCTTCGACGTCTCACTGAAGAACGTGCTGAAGGAATCATCTCCGCGCCGATTCTCAATCGTCTCGTTATTGATTAGACCATCAGACTGGATACCATGCTCCAGGCAGTACAACTCCCAACATGCATTGCCGATCTGCACTCCTGCTTGGCCGACGTGGACTGAGATACACTCACGCTGAAAAGAAATACCAAGGAAAATGATGTACATAGGCCTGCTACAAAGACATATATATATATATAGAGCGAGAGAGAGAGAGAGAGAGAGAGAGAGAAGTGGGAGAGGGGTGACAAAGAAAGAGAGAGGAAGGGAGAGAGAGAGGGGGGGAGGGGACAGGGGTAAAAGAAAGAGAGAGAGAAAAAAAGGGGGAGAAGGATGAAAGGAAAGAGAGAGAGAGAGGGGGGGGGGATGAAAGAGAGAGAGAGAAAAAAAAGGGGGGGAGAGGAATTAAGAGAGAGAGAGAGAGAGAGAGGAGAGTGATGAACGAGAGAGAGAGAGAGAGAGAGAGAGAGAGGGAGGGGAGGGAGGGAGAGAGAGAGAGAGGGAGAGAGAGAGAGAGAGGGAGGGAGAGAGAGAGAGGGAGAGAGAGAGAGAGAGAGAGAAGGTGGTAAAAGATGAAAGGGAGAGAGAGAGAGTATAATGGAGAGTGTACTTGATACTTAATGCCTATTATCTTTATTTTTGTAATCTTTTTTTATCAAATCCAAAAGCAATTTCTTCTAACTAATAATTGTAATAACAGCGTGTCTGTCATAAATTATGCGTCACTGAATCAGAGGAGGAATGATCGAGATGCTGGATGTTCGATCTGGGATGTGCGCCGAGGAGACAGTCATTCAACTGATTAATCCTCCGAGAACACCCCTTCCTTTCGGAATGACGAGGAGATCAAGATTATGAGTCATGTTTGGGGAACATAGCGGAGGAAGAAAGGCTTCAGACAGTATGAGTAGGCAATGGGTTGGTAGAGGGGGGGGGGGGGGGATTGAGCATTAGCTGCGGCGCCATGAGTCAGAGAGGACATGGTGAGAGTCATTTACATAATCATGACCGCCATTAAGCTGGGTTATAGGTAGCAGACAACATGAGCAAAAAGCAATTTTAAGAAACTGATATGAGAAAAATGAATATAGTTGGGGACAGGAATTTTTGTTACTTTTCTTGCGGATCAAAAATTACGATGACATCGCCCGTTGTTGTACGGTCTTCCAATTTGAATGAAAACTTGCCTTGAGGACATGACACTTTCAAATTAATATATCAGACGCCACCCAAACTATGTGTAGAGCCCCATGGTATTACGAGTATTACTCTATCATTAAAAGAAAGAAAGAATCAGAGATAGAGAGGTGGGAAATAGATGGTAGGATAGATAAAGAGATAGTTAAAAAAAGAGAGAGATATATACAGAGAGAGAGAGAGAGAGAGAGAGAGAGAGAGAGAGAGCGGGAGATGGGAAATAGATAGTAAGATAGATAGAGGGATAGTTAAAAAGATATACATACAGAAAGAGAGAGGGAGAGAGAGAGAGAGAACGAAAACGGTGTCGTCGAATGATAATTGCCGTAGGTCCTATAAGATTAACCAATCCCTCAAATAATTAAGCTGCTCATTTTCTTTTTAAAGCCTACCTGCACTAGTTTAGCCACGAGGGATTCGACCTTCCTGCATGGTCACTGACAGGTGGTTATCTCATTAAATCACCTCTCAATTAACATTAAAAAAAGGAGACCATAAGGGACAACGGCCACCGATTAGGCATTGTGTGCTATATAGAGGGCGCAAGTAGCTATACGTAGTGCAGTAGGGCTTTACAGTGAAGCATATGCGTATATCAAGTTGCATTGCATGGGAATATAATAAACAGGAAAATCGGCCATGTGATACAAATATAGTTAAGAGATCGCTAATTGACATAGGGCCTACATATATATAAAAATAAAACTATAACCTCAAAATCTTCACGTATTCATTGTTAAATCCTGTTAGCAAATCAAGCACGGATTATCATCACGACTGTTAAAAGCACACCGGGCAAATTACTGGTATACACTACCTCCCAACAACCATTCCACACCATTGGATAATTATAATTATCATGAGGATCATGAAGGCGCTTTAATATACTTAAATAATAATTTGCTGCAAATTTAAAATGAAGAAAAAATTATTCCCCTCATTTTACTCATTAAAAAAATGGCGAACCAACAAGGTCGATAGTCCAACAAGTTCATGGCTCCAAAATGAATCAAGTTTCAATAATAGCTTTCTTTTCATTAATGGGGTTGTCTCAACAATTCTTTGATTATTTTTTGTTATTTATCTTTTTTAAATAAAAGTAATAATATTCGGATTGATTCCTCTTTAAGCCGTCCTGTTAAATTGGCATGAGTCACCCTATTTTGCTCCTCAAAGTGTAATAGGACGGCGAATGAGATTTATTGTGCACGATGGAAACTCTCGCCTTGTGTAAAATAAATTAAAGCTGGTTATGTTTCTGGCGCACAGTATTCTCATGCATATTGTAAGAACTTGGGGATAAGTCTGATGAGTAGGGCTGAAAACCAACTGTCTGCGAATGATCAGAAACGAGTCAGAAACGAGTCCCAGAGGAGAGGTCGTAACGTCGATAAAATACAATGTACAAACACATATGGCTTCTTGACAGAAGCTTTTCTGTTTTATTATTTTAAATAAGCTCCGTGACTGCCATGTTCATGATAGATGATAGCATCACTCTCGTGTAAAAACCACAAATGTCATCACGATCCATGTACGACAATACAGGTATAACCTTTTTTCTTACCCTTTTTTAGAATCTTTATCTTGTGGACAGCTTTAGATAATTCATTCATTATGAATGAAATCTAGTTTGGTTTAGTTTATTGTTCATATTGATATGCCTTAAAGAAAAAGTTGAGTTCTGGTCATGCGATTGCATTGTGAAAGAAACGTTAAGGAATCGATCAGAAAAGGTTGATCATCTAGCATTTAAGTGTTGGTGTGTACTGTAATGTTCTGGAATCATCAAAATGATAATAAATTTAGCCCAGTCTTGGTAAAGTTACAAGCACTGTACACAGAAAGACGTATATGGGACTACACAAACATGTGGCACAAAAATCTGTCCTGATTTTTAAGATATTACTTGTCATATTTAGAATATTAAGGCATTTGAAGAGCTATGCTTTTCAGGGAACACTTTAGTATCTGATGTGCTTTCACACTTGCACAATACAATGATAACGCTCACAAATTATTGTTCATCTTTTTCCAGAACTCGACCTTCTCTTTAAGCACGAAGGAACGATCTAAAGGATGATAAGGGAATTGTCAGACGAATTCATAACTTTGAACGAAATGCTGATAACTTTTAAGGACACAGTGTTTTTTTCCAGAGTAAAAAATCCCTTCCACTGTCCCTTTTCCTCGAATAAACTAACCGTGTAGCAAGGGCACTCCTCAGCCTAATATATTTGCACTTTACATAATCACCATGCGTGTCATGTCTAGGCGTTACGTATGAATGCGTCACAGATAACGCCATGGGGTAGTTATATTTTTCCTTGTTAAAGAGCTCTCGTTATTCATCTAGCAGTCATGTTTTGCAAGCTGAATGAATCCCGTTCATAAATTAAAGATTAATACATTTAAGTCTTGGTCGAAGTTTGTATTTAGTATTCTTTAACCAATATACGGAATATCGTTGATTTATCTTTACAAAACACTAAGCTGAGCAAAAAGAGCAACTATCATTCCCCCAATTTTTCATTATTGGGGATGAGGTAATCGAAACGTATCGGAGAGAGGAGATGCATAAATGTGTGGCGAATGTTATAAAATGCAGACAACATGGGGTTCTTGAGACAAGTCGAATGCTGATGACTCATACACAGTCATGCTGACTTGGTTCACCCCAAGGGGTAGCCATCTGATATAACACATATGACTAGCCAGAATGATCATCATCGTTGGATAGTGTTTTGCTATCCTCTTTGAAGATGTTCATGTACATGTATCTACAATAATTCTCATGTTTTGAAAGATTCTGATTTCGCAATAATGACGACGATGGTGTCGATGATGATTACGACAACGACGACAACGTCGATGATGATGATGATGAAGATTAAGAAGACAAAAAGGTAAAAGAGGAAGAATAGGCCAAAACTACCCTAAAAATCACACATCTACCGTGTGAGTCAAAAAAAAGTTAACACCTAGAAAGTTGCTAATTATTTTTAAAATCATCGATGAACAGTAATTTATTATGCATCTTATGAAAAAGTATTTTTTCCCAAATCATTTGGTATCATATTTGTGTCGTATGGGTTCACGCTTGGATGAACAGGAGGCATTGTTTGCGAGAGTGCAAAAATCGACTTGCGCCAAAGTGATGTCTACAGTATGTATTATGTTGGGATTAGCGGAGTGAGAGAATGAATTGAATGTATCAAATGAAATGCATTGCATATGCTTTTTGCAAAGGGCAAAGCCACATACACCCACACACGCGCGCACAAATGTTCGTTGATATCTTATATTGAATATTTGATATGTGTGGCATTATTAAATTTGTTAGAGATGTTATTTAAACTGCAAAGATCGAATTAATACCCAAATCTCAATTGTTTTATTTAAACGTCACATAAGCAACTTTGGCGCAAGTCGATTTTGGCACTCTCGCAAACAATGCCTCCTGTTCATCCAAGCGTGAACATATATCACACAAAAATGGTACCAAATGATTTGGGATAAAACACTTTTTCATAAAATGTATAATAATGTACTGTGCATAGATGATTTTTAAAATAATTAGCAATTTTCTAGGTGTAAACTTTTTTTTGACTCACACTGTAGTACTAAAATCACGTGGGTGCTGCTTAAGCCGATAGATCCCCCATGGCGCCTCTAAAGGAAAATGTCAGGCTCAATTTACATATCACGTGCAGACGATGTAATTACACTCAGGTATATTCACCTCTGTCCTGCAGAACTCGAATCACACACAGATGGGATAATGCATTCAATAGCATTGGTCAGACACATATCTCTGAGTAGAATAATAGACACTGGAGTTCTTAGGTTTATGAATATTTTATATTGGCTTTATTGACTGATTTGCAGTTAGAAATCAAGGATGCATTGATGTTTACAAAGGCAAGTTTATGTATTTTACATAGTGTATAAATAAAGGAAGAAGAAACATGGATGTTTGCATGGTCTTGTATTGCTTTAATTAGAAAGAATAATGTCAGACTAGGTCAATGAATGCACCTGATGCAGAAAGTAGTAATCAAAGGGCGATCAAAATTATTATTATTTATCTACATAGGCCTATCAGTAATTTTCTTTATATATATATATATATATGAAGGAAATTAATTTTATTGCATAGGATCTTTTCACGAAAGGAAATACGATTTCCGAAGAGTGAAATTATGTTACCTAGACTGCCATCAGAAATGCAAAGAAATATCCAGTTGACTTAATGTATTTCTAAAGAGTTTGTGACGGGGTCACACTCAAAATGATATCAAAAGTAATAATCATTTACATTTAAAGATGACATTGGTATACATAATGACATTTCAGATGATAAATGATGAGAAAATTTAAAATTCCCAAGGCCATTAACATTGTTATAATCATAATGAAAATACAATAATTAAATTGAATTGAAAAGTTTAGCAAGGTAGTTATCGCAGGTGGTTGATATTATATTAAAGATAGGATGGGGGAATTTACTTTCGTTTACATTGGGGACAAGGGCAGAACGATGGTCGTTTGAAATAATCAAATTTACCTAATTAATCAAATTAAAATACAATTTACACACAAGTATGCTTATACATGCTGAATACATTGAGAGTATTGAGAAAATGAGTACATGACGCAGTTAGCCAACGCATTTATTTTTCAGTTAAGAATGAACTGCAATCTAAAACAACAACGCCACAGTCTATAATGACTGGAGTGTTATGTTAATGTTTACTGGATAATGATTGAGATTAATGTGATAACATTTTAATTTTTTTTAACATGGTTCAATCATACCTATTTGAGACAAAGTGAAAGGGAAAAGAAGAGAGACAGAGAGAGAGAGAGAGAGAGATTAAGAGAGAATAACAAAAAAAATAAAAGATATAAGATCGTGAGATCTGAAGTGCAGAGCGGTGATGTAAAGAGAAGGGACAAAGAGAGATTGAGGGAGGGGGGGGGGGGGCGGCTTGATGACGGAACAGATTTGCATCTCGAGGAAGAGCCACACCTAAATGAATAATGAACATCGTGCACGTGGGCTCTACACATACTGCACGCCATGAGATCCATGTACATACACGTGTATGTATCATACCTATCCATGGCTGGAACAAAAGGGAAGTGTTATCTGGGGAGAAATGTAACTGCCCAAATTTAGATTCCGTTCTTACAAAATATATATCAAAGCAGAATATCAGATTAATACACTATGGATATGAAAAAAGAAAAAAATACGATTGCTTCTCTTCTCTTTTGGTGATGTACGAAACTGTTACAAATTGACGTTTTTGCAATTTTAACTTGAAGTCACAAAGACATTTTTAAAAATACTTAGAAAAAGGGTACCAGCATCAAGTTATATTCAGAATTTCTGAATAAAGGCGAGTCCGCCACTCAGAACGTAATTAACATTCTACTCACCATAATGTTCGTCTACTGAAGATGTTACAATACTGATAAAATACACAATTCGATCACACTGCTCCTTCTAATTCACTATACTTCACACTCAGATTCTTAAAATTCACTGGAATAGATGGCGTTTCTGATATCAGATGGAGAAGAAAGAAGATGAATATTAGCCAGGAATCTCAAGAAAGCTGTGATGGCTTGTGAGAGACAGGCAAAGACAGAAATGGCGGGAAAGGGAGGGAAACCCGCCGTATATAACGACATTCAGGCTACGCAGACGACGGCTTGATCGATAGCCACGCACGATTGCAGACCGTGCGAGCTGCATGGGTTGAGTGAGATAATTTATTTGACGTTGATGTAGTTCAACGATTAACTTTTCCTTTCCAAATTTTGTTCTGTTGAACTTTACACGCCATTAAGATGGCTGATTTTGTAATATATTTTTTTAATGATGCATATTATTGAAATTTAAAAAAAAATATTGTTAAAATAAAATAAAATAAGGTCTATTATTAATGGTATTTCTAAATTTGAACGTTATCATTATCATGACAAATCGCCATTCAAGAGATACAAAGCGCATTGTTGATAATTATGTATATTTATGAAATTGAGAATGATACGATTAGCCGTGAGTGCGAACAGAGAACAACAAAGAAAATTCGGAAAGAAACTTCTTGGATGTTGCGAGAGTTTTTTACTTAAGAGTTAGTGAGTTCAAGATCCTGGGAAATTCTACTTTTTTAAGCTCTATCTCTTATCTATTTGCTGGACCGTAAGTGTTGTGCAGAGAATCCAAAACTCTGCTGCCAGGCTTGTAACACGCACACGTTCTTGTGAACACATCACTCCAGTTCTTCCCAAATTATGTACATAATCTTGGGGTAACTTTTAAATGCATTCATGAATTGGCACCAATTTATCAGAAAGAACTAATCCAGGAATACAAACCCTCACGCAATCTACGGAATTCTTCACAATTAAACCTCGTGTCTACTTCGGTGTCAACTCATCGCTATTTTTGCAAAGCTTCTGCTGAACTTTGGAACAAACTACCTTTCAATGTCAAAAACTGTCAAACTGTTAACCAATTCAAAACATTTATTCAAAATTGCTTTTGATTAGTAACTTACCCTGTTCACATTGATGTCTTTGTTTTTATATTGTACTTTGTAGGTTTATTTGCACTTTTTTGTTTTGTTTTGTTTAATATGTAATTGTTTATCAGTCTATTTTGAATGTTATAGCGCGTAGAGACTTCGGTGGTAAGCGCTTAATAAGCAACGTTTTTATTATTGTTGTTATTATTTATACATCGATGTTTGTGCGAGGGGTAGACCTAATAGGCATTCGAATTGTCATTAATTCCTGACACATAGACAATACATGTATTTTTTTAAAATTTCTTCTATTATTTAAAAATTCTGAATTTGTTAAACATTTATCTGAAAATTGAAGTTCAGGAGATATCCACTGAAGTGAAGAAATGGGGGCAAGTCACATTAAGTTTATTTTTTGTCTCTCTGTTTCGGTCTGTCTGTCTCTCTCACTCACTCAAACACACACACACACACCCACACACGCACACACGCACACACACACAGACACACACACACACTATCTCAATCTCTCTCTCTCTCTCTCTCTCTACCTCTCTCTCTTTGCCTTCTCTCTCAACGCCTTCCTCCCTTCCCCAGTCATTTTCACTTTGTTTTTCTGTCTCCTTTCTGTCTCTATGCCTACTTCTCTTTCCTCTCTATATATCTGTCCTGCTACCCCTCCCCCTCTCTCTATCTCTCTCTCTCTCTATTTATATATATCTCTTTCTGCATGTCTTCTATCTCTCAGCCTTCCTCCCCCTCCTAGTCATTTTTACTTTGTTTTTCTGTCTACTTTCTGTCTCTTTGCCTACTTCTTTCCTCTCTATATCTGTCCTGCTACCATCTCTCTCTCTCTCCCTCTCTCTTTCTCTTTCTCTCTCTATCTATATCTCTCTCTCTCTCTTTCTGCATGCCTTCTATCTCTTAGCCTTCCTCCCCCTCCCAGTTATTTTCACGTTATTTTTCTGTCTCCTATCTGTCTCCATGCCTATATACTGCTCTTCCTTCTCTATATCTTTCTAGCTGCTATCTCTCTTTCTCTATCTCTTTCTCTCTCTCTCTTTCTCTCTATCTTTCTTCCATCTCTCTCTCTTCGCCTTCCTTCCTTCCCTAATCTTTTTCACATTGTTTTTCTGCCTCCTTTCTGTCTCCTTTCTGTTTCTATGCCTACTTCTCTTCCTTCTCTATATCTCTCCAGCTACCATCTTTAATTGAAAATGAAAAAAATAACCGGGCTTAAATGCTCAAGTTTTTCTTTTCAGTGAACACATTTGTTGCTGTTATAAATTTAACCACATAAACATTTCCCTACTTAACGCCCGTTGACACGTATTTTATCAGATATGAGATGGTATTTGACATCTAATAAACTCGTTCAAAGTACTGATTATCAAGGGATAACATTCCAAGATAAGAATTATTAAGAGGGTCAAAGTGATATCATAATTATAATGTGGAAGCTTCTTTTTAGAAACAATCGAAGCATATAAGATTATGTTAATGGCTTATTAAACGAAACGATACTCATGGTTGGTCTACCCTGTCAAAAGATCAGAAATAAAGAAAAAAAACACGTCTTCACTAGTTCTATCATATTAGTATGATCCCTGATGATAAAAATGATAAAATTTCCCGATGAATTTATAGTCATATCATTTATTATCAGGAGTATCATACATGGAAAAACAATTTAATTGGAATAATTTAATTTCTACATGTATCAAACACCCTAAAATCCGATTATTCTAATTTTAAAAATGTTATTTTTATACACACTACATTACATTTTCCTAAAAAGGCAGTAAAGCCCGATAATTACTTTTTAATTTAATGTGGGTACCAACATAACAAAGCCCACCCCTTCCCGTCCCATCGAATATGTTCTACACATCTAGCATTTCATAAATGTTATCATGCTTAACTTTGATTTTAAATTCATGACCTTCCATACCCATATACACATACTTAATGCCAATGATATAAAGATCTGGTACAAAACTCGAAGATATTCTACACTTCCAAGACCAATACATCAAAATAATCGATCTACGCATTTTAAAGACAGGGATGGTTAGCCATATTCTGAACCTCGACCGCAGTGAGCACTCGGTCATAGATCTTGACCTCGTCAATCAAGCCATAGAAATACTCTTCACTATTCCCTGTACCTGCTTGACCAATAGTGACCGGTGTATTGCGTGTTAGAATAGGACCAGTGCAACAAATGTGATTGGTCGCTGTCTGCTGCTGACCATTGAGGTAGTAGAGCAGGGTAGACCCGTCATAGGTCATGATCACGTGGTTCCAGGTGTTCTGCAAAGCGACAAGATTTACGTAGTCCCAGGTACCCGTATCGGTTGAATAGGCACTACCGCCCAACATCTGACCGCTGTTCTGAAGACCCATTCTGATCTCCCAGCTCCCTCTATTGGAATACCCATTATTGACGATGCCCTGGTAGTTCCCCCACTCACCGGTGCGCTTAAACCATACACTAACACTGAACTCCGTGCCCCAGGCGAAGTTGGCAAACGACTGGACGCTTATTTTAGACGCACCGTTAAATGACGCGGCCTGACCGCATTGGCCAGCCGCGTAAGAAACATCGCCGGTCGTGGTTCCGTCGCGGTTGTTACCGGAGCTGTCAGTAACGTCTCCCTCAAACGGGTAGTAAGCTGGAAGAAAAGCAGGGGACAAATACTAAGGCATCACAGCATGACAAGACAAAATATTCAACGAGCAACTAAAGGAAAAATCTTATCTTCAAGTTTTGGGGCAGTCACAAATATTTTGAATTTACGAGAGTACTTGCCGACAAGCAAAAGAAAAAGGCATAGAAAGCACTTTTTTTTATAGATATCTACATCTCTCAAAGCTGCTTTCATATTTTGATCCTCTGACTTCAGTTCTCTGGTGACTATTGCTGTGGTCTTTATTATATCGAATAAATTATGTTAGGGTTAAAGTTGCAATCGGGTTTAAGGTGAGGTTTACAGTTGTACTAGGTTTAGGACTTAATCCTTTGGAATTTGGCTAGTTTATACAAATGATCTTGGAGCAACATTCACAGGAGCATGTGTCCTAAACCCCATATTCTGTGCATTAACCACTAACACAATCTGCAGACTGAAAATAACAGGATATATCTTACGGGGAATACAAATTCATGCTGAGGGACATCTTGGAAGGCAAGGTGGATAGTAAACGGGGAGGAGGAGGCCAATGATTGGGATGGTGTCAGACTTGATAGGTGACAGATCATATGATATAATGACGAAAAAGGATGGGGAAGGCTCTAGTGTGTGGACCTGCCAATGGCGAAACACCTGAAAGAGAGAGATGGCGATGAAGGTGCTACTTAAATAGCCTTTGTTTCCCCTTTTCAAAGCATACCTCTACCTGTGTATCATGGAGTACACTGCTTGTGCATAAATGAATAATGTTTACATAACTTTCATGAGCACGTATCCAGTATTTTGTCTCTGTGTATTTCACAATTTGTTCTGCAATGAACTTTATCTGCTCATGCTCAGACTGCAACCGTGAACTGGCTTATACCTCAGTGATGATGTCATCCTTTTAATAACAAACAAAAGATACACAAAATGAGGCGGAATATTATCAACTCACCAATCAAGCAACTATGAGGGCAGGAGGAACACGCCATCACCGTCGATGTCATAAACATGATCGTCGCTAGGAGGGATATCAAATTATTCACTATCGCCGAACTATTAGAATATAGATTAGAAACACTGTCTGTTTGCGGTTGATGTTTAACAAAACTGTAAGTGCAGGGTTAGTTGCTCTCAATATAATCTAAATTATGAAAGTAAATAACATCGTGGCCTGTTAATGATTAAAGTAATCATTTAGTTGAAATGTTTGGGAATATTCTGAAGTAGCAGATGTCCAGATTTGCAAAATGTAAGTTTTACAAACACAATGATGTAACAGATTCACTGTGTAGAAACGTTTCTTTACATAGACAGATGTGCGCTACATAATCATCACATAATTATTAATATTCATCATTTTTATTTCTGCCAGAAATATATAGGTCATAGCCTATTGAAAACGATCAAGTGATATTTTTCTTGAGTAAAAGAACTTTTCTTACCCCATACTGCCAAACTAATG